TCTCTCTCTTTAGTTTCTCTCTCGCTCTCTCTCTTTAGTCTCTCTCTCTTGCTCTCTCTCTCTCTCTTTAGTCTCTCTCTCTCTCTTTAGTTTTGCTCTCGCTCTCTTTCTAGTCAATCTCTTTAGTCTCGCTCTCTTTAGTCTCGCTCTCTTTAGTCTCTCTCACTTTAGTCTCTCTCTCTTTCTCGCTCTCTCTCTCTCTTTAGTCTCTCTCTCTTGCTCTCTCTCTCTCTAGTCACTCTCTTGCTCTCGCTCTCTTTAGTCTCTCTCTTGCTCTCTCTCTCTTTAGTCTCTCTATCTCTCTCTAGTCTCTCTCTCTCTAGTCTCTTTCTCTCTTTAGTCTCTCTCTCGTTCTCTCTCTCTTTCTCTCTTTAGTCTCTCTCTCTTTTTAGTCTCTCTCTTGCTCTCGCTCTCTCGCTCTCTCTCTCTCTCTTTGACTTGTTCTGTTTTTTGGCCCTTCTGAGACACACTGTGTTGTTTGGATCTTTTTCTTGGCCGTCCTGGAGCTGTGGCCTGCTGTCGGTGGTCCCAGCCACCTCAGGTAATTTTTGTTAACTTTTGGATGTTTTTTTTTTTGGGTAGTGTTTTGGCCTGGTGGGACTGGTAGCCCTGTTTTCGTTCTTTCTTTTGTAATAGTTTTTTTTAGGGGTTTTTAGAGTTAGTCTGGTATCAGCAGCGGCTTCGACGGCCCTGTATAGGGTTGACCCACTGCTGTACCTTTTTGTTTGGTTTGGCCAGCTCACCGAGTCCATCTTTGATTTGTACTTTGGGTTTTGTTTCTTGGGTGGACACGGGAACTGGAGGTTCCTGGTCTTTTTTCGTTTTTTTTTTTTCTGGAAGCAGCAGGTTTTTTTTTATTTATAATAAATTGAACGTTGAACCCATATTTGTGTCTCATGTCCTCCTTTAATATGTTATGTTCATGGTGGATGTAACATAGACACATTTAAATCATTGAGGAAATTATTAAAGTATATAAAAAAAGTCATAACACCTATCTCCTAAATGAGCTGAACATTTTGATATGGGTATCTAAATTAGCACTTAGTATGTAAAAGTAATTAAATTGTAAATTATGTACAGGAAAACAGAAGTGTGAATGCTGACTCAAGCATACCAGTGATGGCCTGGGTGTCCATGGAAAACTTTTTACTCCCTACAACAAAAGACAAAATGATTAAATTATTTAAATTACATTGTTTTTTTCCATACAGTTGAAGTTACGTTTGTGCCTCAGACATCTTACATCTGCCTCGCTGCCCTCCCTCAGGTTGTAGGTCAGATTGTGGTGGATGTCGGATCTGAACCGACTGCCGTACTCTGGGTACAGCCTGAGCACATCCCTCAGAGCCTTAACGCTGATGTACTGTAAGTCACAGTAGGTCAGAGCCTTCACGTCTGCATTCGTCTTGATCACCTGCTCATTCTCCGGCAGGTCGGCCCCTATGAGGTCACCTTTACCTGTACAGATTGTCAGACAAAGAGGAGCTAAATGGCTGAGTATACATATGGAAATGGTTCACCCTTTGTGCACACTCACCCAGTATGGCTTGGACCATTCCATCTTTCAGAACCTCAAGGGAGCCGGAGCAGACAAAATAATTAGCGTGCAGGGCATCTCCGTGGCGGATGAGGTATTCTCCAGGTGCACAGAAGGAGGTTTTGATGTGCAGAGAAAGGGAACGCAGACACCCTCTGCTGGCTCTTTCGAACACGGGCAGCTGCAGGATGTCTTTGTTCAGATGCATGGCAATATCTGCCCGCAGCTCGTCCGGGAAGTCATGCAGCAGCTACAAGAATATGAGGAAAAATTCATTTAGTCACCATTAAATGATCTCGCTGAAGTGTTTTATTCTATCCAAATTACCCACTTTGAGAAATACCTTTAGCACTTTGTTTGGATATTTTAGAAGAATTATCTATTTGTGCATTTAGCAAACTACAAAGCCTGTTAGGAAGTGGCCAAACAAGAAGTGAAAAGGAACTCCGTTATCAACGTGCGTAGAAATAAAAAGTCTATAATTCCTTGAAGATTACTCGGATGCATACCACTCACTACCGTTCATGCCAAAGTTTTATACCAAGATCACCATATGTTGAAGATTTATGGAGCTAAAGCCATTTTGATCAACCATTAATATCATTATGCATAATCTCATGCACAATTGCACAATATAGTGATTGGAGTATGTGTATGGCATTGCAATTCCACTTTAATTGGTGATATGTGACTTATCTGTGCTGCTGATTATCCATGCTGCTGATCTCTTGCCTTTAAGCAGCTGTATTCATATCCAACTGCTCATTACAGACTCATGTTCAGGCTGCTGTTTAATATACCATATTATATTACATTATTACTGTTTAGCATATATCCTTATATCCTTTGTATATGTAAAAAGTAACTGGGATCTTGGGTACACAATTTCGTTCCACCTCATGTACCATATGTGATGTGAATGACAATTAAGAACCTTGATGTGTTAGGGATGATTGTCAGCTTCTACCACACCAAATTTCAGCTCAATATTCGTAAAGTTTATTCAAATCTTGGGTTAACTCCTAAAGGTAATTAGTTGTAGAATGTACTGTCAATAACTACTTCTTACTGATAAGACATCAAAGTTCATGCTCAATCATCCAGGTACAAAATCCACTAATGGTCAGTCAGGTCATCTGGACAGTTTCTTTTTTGTGGAAAGATGTTTCGCCCTCTATCCAGAGGGCTTCATCAGTCTGAGGAGTCCCAAGTAAACTGTTTTCCCTACTAAAAAATGCACTCCTTTAGTGGACCAACCAGTTTGCTGGTGATGGTTTCCCTCCGGACAGAGGGCGAAATGTCTTTCCACATAAAATAAACTGTCCAGATGACCTGATTGACCATTATTGGATTTTGCACCTGGATGATTGAGCATGAACTTTGATGTCTTGAACCACTTTGGCTGTGGCTGCCTGTCTGGGAGGAGTCGACGGGGGACAGGACAGCCCCCAGAAACCATCTCATCACCAGCAAACTGGTTGGTCCACTACTGCTTAATGGGGAAAACAGTTTACTTGGGACTTCTCAGACTGATGAAGCCCTCTGGATAGAGGGCGAAACGTCTTTCCACAAAAAAAAAACTGTCCAGATGACCTGACTGACCTTTATTGGAGTTACTGATAAGGTTTTAGGGGAAGAGCTCTTGCAGTATATCCTGGGGACACTGCTCAGCTACCACTACACTAATTTACATAATATCTATAAAAGTGTCTGAGTTTGTGTTTTCTAAGATCGGTTGGCTGTGGCGGCCATCTTGAATTGAACATGTGTCAAGAAGTTCATCAGTTGTAGACGACATGTCCATCTAGTGTTGATGTTCTGAAACGAGCCATGAAATATTCTGCTAATGTACAGACAAAAGAACATAAACACACACACAGACAAAAACATTATCACCCTTTCCCCTTTGGCAGTGGGTGATAACTGGCTCCATTAGACCACTCGTGCTGTTTCGTTTTAATATGATAAATGTACAATATTTAATTTTCTTTTGTATACAGTCAAAGCTAATTTTGCTCTTGACTTCAAAGCCCATTCACTACTGAGAAATGGCCTTCCTGTAACATAATCTACAAAATTACACGATTGAAAGTACCGTACGGTTAATGTAAACCAGAAAAGAGTGGATATATTTTTTATAGCTAAATGCAGCACAGCAGGTTCCTGTTCTGAAAGGTTGATGCACTCACGTGACAGAGCTCAACAAAAACAGACTGTGATAAAAAAACAGCATGTTCACAGAAACAAGTGTCTGTGTCTGTTTCTTTTCACACTGAAATAATTAAGTAAAGAGGTGACGGTGAGAGTGCTAATGAATATTCACTCCATTGCAGCTCCTACCCTTGTAATTAATGGGAATGTCTCCAAGACAGATCCTGGCATCGAAATTCTATTTGCAACAAAGTGGCGTCCACTTAAGGAAATGGAAAAAAGACTCAAGAGAATTTATAATGTCCCACATTAAAAGGATCGTGACTGGGAATCTAGAAACTCCTTAGAAGAATTCATTGTTTCTTTTTTCTTTTAAAATCATTAACGGGATGGTTCAGATCTTTTCAAGTGGTGCTCTGTGAGAAGACTATGAACAAGTAATATCTTACCTGTTGCACATAGTTGTAGGGACAATTTGGAGAAAAATAGTTTATTGTTACTGAATTACTGAGTAGACCAAAATGAGTTGCTGCTGTCATAAAACTACAATCGCAATGTCCTGACGCATGCTCAATAATCCAGGAAAAATCTAACAAGGTTAAGTCGGGTCATCTGGATGGATTCTTCTTTGTTGAAACATTCAATCTTTTATCCAAAAGACATTCAGTGATTGCAATATTTTACAGTAGTAAATGGCATCACTATTCAATAAACCTTTGCCATCAGCCTTGAGTTATGTAATTATTCTGGCACAAATATGATAATCCTGCTGAAAGTGCCCCGGGGTTAATTGGAAGTGCTATAGCCAACTGCTAATGCTTTTTGTGCAATTGCATGAAGGTAAACTGACAACACTGTAAAGGTCTGAAAACGTAGCGTTTGCTTGAACCTCTAACATGTTTAAGATTAGAGCTGTTTCAAGACGGCAGCGATCCGCTTTGCCCTATAAGTCGTGTTTTTTTACATAATTTACATGCTCTGCGACTTATAGACCGAACCGACGTATTTATGGATTTTCCCATATTTTTAAACCAATTTTTGACAGAGATGTTACTATTTTCATTCATTCTGACTGAAAAAAATTGAACACTACCATTTTCAGCCACTAGATGGCAGTCGAGTAGTAAGGCATGCCGTTGTATCATGTAATAGGTAAAAGTGGCTATTAATGACACAACTGGTTTGCCATTGGCTGTCACCGTCGTCTGCCTGGAGCAACTGCATCTGCTTCATTTTGATGCGCCGCCCCGGCGAAATGCAGCTAACTTGACTGTCAAAGTGCATTTATTAAGTAAAAGTTCAACTGAGACACTTTTACGATAAAGTTGAGCAAACAAATAATTGTTTTAGGTGGTTATCTTGTTAAATTTCAATGAATGGACAGCCAGTTGCCCTCGGCGCTTTCATGTTTATGCATATCGGCTTTTGAAAATGCAGCTGATTTAACCATCAAAGTGCATTTATTAAGGAAAAATTAGACTGAGACAGGGCAGCACGGTGGCACAACTGGTAGAGCCGCTGCCTCTCAGCGAGCAGGTCCCTGGTTCAAACCCCGGTCCAGGGGCCTTCTGGGTGGAGTTTGCATGTTCTCTCCGTGCATGCGTGGGTTTTCTCCGGGTGCTCCGGTTTCCTCCCACAGACCAAAAACATGCATGTTAGGCTGATTGGTAACTCTAAATTGTCCCTAGGTGTGAGTGAGAGAGTGAATGGTTGTTTGTCTCGTTTGTCTCTATGTGGCCCTGTGATGGACTTGTGACCCGTCCAGGGTGTCCCCCGCCCCTCGCACAGTGATTGCTGGACATGGGCACCAGTGACCCCCGTGACCCAAAATGGAATAAGCAGGTAAAGATAATGGATGGATGGATGGATAGACTGAGACACACCTTTACTATAATTTCGAGCAAACAACTTATTGTTTTTACGTGCTAATCTTGTTAAATTTTTGTTAAAGTCCTTCTGTGCATGCTCCTGCGGCCACCATTTGGCATCATATCGATTTTTGGCACAACACCGGCCCACATTTCCGGGTTGTCAGCGGCGACACATAATAGATGCGACGTATACGGCAAAGTGACATATTTATGGATTTTTTCCAATTTATTAGACATATTTGGACTGATGCGACTTATAGGGCGGTGCGATGTGTACGGCAGAAAATACGGTGGTCGTTGTATTAGTAGTAGTAGTAGTAATAGAGGGAACTCAGTATTGTGTATGTAGGGATTTAATGTGACTCAACTGAATAGCCAAAACTACTTCGTCATAAAACATGAGAAACACGAAGATTCATACACAAACTAATACAAAGCACCAAAGCACAACTGTTTCCGATTTTTTTCGACCCACCTCATTAGCGTTGATGCCATTGTTGACTGACCAGGTGGCCTGAAAGTACTCCAACATCCTCTGCTTCAGCTGCTGAGGCAGTCGATGCACACGGATGAAGTCCTTGAGATCCTTCATGCGGGTGTGGTAGAGTGAGCGCCGTGAGTACATGCGCTGGATGATGGCTGTCACGTTGCCAAACACCACAGCATGCATCAGAGCTGTAGGTGGCAGGGGACGGTAAGAAAGGGATAAAGTTGGAATGTTTACCTCAGGTGGGAAATTTCTATTGCAGAGATGAAACTCACCACCAATGAGCATACTACAGATGGAGAAGATTTTCTCTGCATCTGTGTTGGCACACACGTTTCCAAAACCAACACTAGTAAGGCTGCTGAGGGTAAAGTAGAGGGAGGCGATATAGGCGCTGGGCATGGAGGGGCCACCCATGGTGCTGTTGATGTACGGCGTCTCCAGACGCTTTCCTAACTCCTGCAGCCAGCCTGGTCAGATGAAATCAGAAGATGGTTTCAAGGTTAAAATGCAAACTTTGATATTGTCACTATTTGTTTCCTTTTCAGTCTGCATCAGTGGAAGAGCATGTGATGCCTTGTGTGATGAAATTCAGACTGATATCATGCTGGGTAGGCTAAAGTTACTACTCTGACCTAAACTTCCTCTGAGCTCTGACAAAACGCCAAAAGATGCTGAGCCATTCAAGCATTGAAGTGCAATATCCCACAAAAGAGAAAGGAAGTTAGAAATAATATTTTCTGAAATTTGCTGAAGTTTGAACTGAGTTGTTAAAGATAAAAGAAGCAGAGCACTAGCTAAAAGCTCAATTTGGAAAAACTAGCTAAAAGCTAAAAGGAGAAAAATAATGGCTAAATATAGATGCAGAAAAACTCTATGAGCAATACATTTGGTAAAAGCTAAAAGTAGGAAAAGGTTAGATGCAAGTTAAAGGTAGCAGAAAGCTTGCTAAAAGCTAAATGCAATGCAACAGATAGGCTAAAAGTAGCAAAAGGCAAACTAACCAAGTAGCAAAAGGGTATCTAAAAACTTAAAGTAGGAAGAAACCGTAGCCTAGAAATTAAATGTAGCAGATAGGTTAGCTAAGAGTAGCAAAAAACAAAACAAAAACTATCTAAAGGATAGCAAAACGTATTGCTTGAGCAGATTGAGGCTAAAAGTAGCAAAAAGCTGTCTACAAGCTAAAAGCTAAAATGAGTGCAAAAAGGCAAAACTAGTCAGAATGCAGAAGTAGATTTCAAAGACAGCTATGTTTTTGAAGGAATTTTAAAAATGTATTTCTATGTGTAAAATATTTGTAAATAAAGTTTTTTATAAGTACACTAGTCCCTCGTTTATCGCGGGGGATCCGTACCCTGAAGCCCCGTGATAAGTGAAAAACCTTCATATATATATATATATATATATATTTATATATGAAGGTGTTTTGAACCCTTCCTACACTCTTGTAATATTCTGAACAATGTAATCTAAATGCTCTAGAAGAGCACAGCTTGTCATGATTTCATCTTCCTGCCACAGCTGCTCTCTTGGCCACGCCCACTTCTCCACAGCAGAACTAGGATCACAGAGGAGAAGGAGGGAGGAGGAAGTTTCTCCTGCAGTGTGGGCTGCACACAGGTGCAGCAGGTGCTAAATAATTTAAAATGATTTATTTTAAATAAAATTTCCATGCCAATCGTGCGGCTCATCCATCAATCAGCCAATTGTGTGTCATGTCCAATCTTGTTTTGACAAACCGCGATCGAGCGAATCCGTGAAAAACGAACCGTGAAGTAGAGAGGGACTACTGTATAATGGATACAAAAACCAAAAGTTCCGTCACTCATCTCCTGAATCCGCTGAAATGTTTTAATAATAATTCCAAAAATAGCACTAAGTATGCAGAAGTAGTTAGATTGCAACGGGGCGGCACTGTGGCGCAGCAGGTAGAGCTGCTGCTTCTCAGCGAGAAGGTTGCAGGATCGTATCCCAGCAGGGGGCCCTTCTGGGTGGAGTTTGCACATGTTCTCTCCGTGCATGCGTGGGTTTTTTCTCCTCCCACAGACCAAACACATGCATGTTAGACTAATTGATAACTAAACTGTCCCTAGGTGTGAGTGAGAGATTGAATGGTTCTTTGTCTCGTTTGTCTCTTTGAGTCCCTGTGATGGACTTGCAGTCTATCCTGGATGTACCTCACCTCTTCCACAGTAACTGCTGGATATGGGCACCTGTGACCCCCACGACCCGGAAAGGAAGAAGCGGGTAAAGATAGCAACAAATACACAGGGGAAATACAAAAACCGAGCAGGAAAACAAAAGTGTGAACGCCGACTCAGCATTTCACACCTGATTTGATGTTCAAACTGTGACAGATGCAAACTGCGCTCACCTATGTCCCAAGTCACGGGGTCGCTGCTCTCTATCTCCTTGCGTCCGATGACGTACCAGACGCAAGCCATCCAGTGAGCCAGCAGAGCAAACACAGACATGAGCAGAGTGAGGACCACGGCGCTGTACTGGGAGTAACGGTCAAGTTTCTGCAAGAGGCGCAGCAAACGCAGCAGGCGGACCGTCTTCAGCAGGTGCACTAACGAGGTCTGGCCAAGAAGTGGGGAAGTGGAGCATACAGCACACAATCTGTAATACTTGTTCTTTTTCAAGCCTAATTTAGGTGTTTTGAAATATTTTCTTAGAATAATCTTGTTGTGTTTTGCTCATTAGTCATAAGAAGTTCTCATTTTGTAAAATAAACATTATAAAATGTTTGTTCAAAGAGAGCAAGCACATTAATGTAGCTGTAGAACTATTTTCAATCTCCTTACCAGAAAAACACATTAGTCACAGATATTGTTGCATTTGTATTGACAGTCTTACCACTGTGATGTTAAAAGCATAGAGAAGGTCAAAGGGCAACGCTGCAATCAGGTCCACAAAGAACCAGGTGGTGCAGTAATGCAGGTAAATGGATCGGGCGTCGTACACCACCTGACCCGACTGGCTCACATACGTGGTCCGAAAATTCAGGATAATATCTACAAAAGGTACAGCAGACAACGACAAAATAAAATAATAAAACCAACATAAAAACATATAAAGCTGTGATTTACTTTTTATTTTTTTGCGTTCCACTCTGATTTTAGTCTCGGCAGCCGGCACAAAAACAACCTTTTACATGAATCGAGCCGCATGCGATTGCGAGTGAGCTCATTTAGAATCACCGTCTGTCTGTTTCCACACAAATCTGTCGTGAAGTTGTGTGACAGATGCGTTAAAGCAATTTTGTTGCTGTAAAATTGTCACGAAGTGAGAGAAATCTAATTAGGATTTATAACCCAGGGTGACACTGACACTCCAAGTGGGCGAGAAACAGTGGGAGGCAGTCATGTGCTCGCCATCGCCAAGGAAACAGCTGCACCGGGAAAAACTGTTGTCCTCACTTTAAACTCTCGGCTGTTGTTTGTCAGTGTTGATGTTTTAGCGTGAAGGTCGTTTTATGTGCAACATGCAATTCATACTAAAGATACAGCTCTAGTGGTGCAACTTATCACAGAGACAATGCATATTTTTGAAATTATTATTTTTAATTACAAAGTACACATCTGGCACATCTTTGATTATCGCCCCCTGCTGAAAGGCAAAATTGGACGATGATGTCTGTGTATGTATGTCTGTTAGCAAAATATATTATGAACAACAGAAGAAATTTTGATCAAACTTGCAGAAAATAATTTTTTGCACATCTACTGATAAACCTTTGAAATCAGCCTGATTTCAGATGTCGCCACAATCGACTTACCCTTAAAGCACAAAAATGGCTATAACTGTAAATCTGATTAATATTGAACTAAAACTTAATGTGGTAGTGGATGAGACTGAACCACAACACATATTCCGAGCACTAACAGATTGTGCATGATCTTTGGTTATCATTTTTACCACCAAATGTTTGGAATCAGCTTTTTCCATCTGTTAGCTGCAGAAGGGGTCCTCAGATCGTTGAATTTTGATTAGTAATTTTATTCTGAAAGGGCACCACTTGCTTTCCGGTTCTTAAGCAAGAAAAATATAAAATCAGCCTCAAGTTTATGTATTCTAGTGAGTTCTTTTCGTATTAAATTCAAATGTCATATATAATAAAAATGCATGGATTCAAAGTAAAATTTTGTGAAGTTTATTGTCGATATTGGTAAATATCAGTGATCAAACATGACGAGTACAGCTGAAGAATGAATAATGGCTTTAACTTGACAACACAAGAAGAGTCTAAAAAGGTAAATCTGGAGAACCAGATAATAACTTTCTCTGACTCGGAGGGCGTTAACGATATTGATGGTTGACCCAATCAAAACAGAAAGGGTGGACCTTTGTTTCAGGTTACTGCTCCATTTGAACTTTACCAACGAATAAATGGCTAATTTACTTTGCTTTGGTAAAACTCAATATAACAGAAGAACATTTAAGACTTCAGTTTGACTCATCCATAAAGATTTTCATTAGAACTTGTGAAAACAACAGTTGAAACTTCTGATTACCAGTTTTTTTTACATCTACTTTCTCTTATGCGTCATTAAACTGAGTACTAAGCTGAGAAAGAAGGAGACAAGTTATTTCATAGCAGTTTTACAGCAAAACATTCTATAGTGTTCAAGAAAACTCAGAAAATTAAACTGTTCAAAAAACAAGTTCTACCGTGGGATGGCAATGTTGTTTCATGAATTCACTACTACCAAAGAGTCCTTGAGGAACGACACGGTGGTTCTTTCCCACACTCTGAGACTGTAGGACGAATCCTCCCATTTAGGAAGAGATACACACAACGCTCAGATGTTACACTCAGATGGAAAGGTTCTCGTGCAAAGGGCCTTTCAGCGTCACTGAGATCATAATAACAGGTGAGCAATTAATTACAATAGCAGATTTTTGTTGTAAAATTTTTGTAACGTGGTTTCTTCCTGTCCAACTTTAGAATAAGAGTCAGTTTTACTTTCTAAATATCAAAAGAATAAAAGTTAATGGTAGAAAAACCTTGATGTGTCCCTACATATGTCATGAATCCGTAGACAGATTTTAATGAAACTTTCAAGAAAGAATTATTGGATGTACATCTACAACTGATCTACCTTTGAAGCCAAACAAGTTCAGGATGTTCGCCACAGACAATTGATTTAAGAAAACACAAAAGTGGCTATAATTTATTTATCAGTAGTCCCTTGCTACTTCGCGGTTTGTTTTTCACGGACTCACTCGATCGTGGTTTTGTTTAAGTACTGTACAGTACTGTACTTTTACATAATATTGTCCCCCCCCCCACACACACAAAAAAAGTGCAGCCATTTTTTAATTTTCTTTCATTAAACCTTCACTGTTTTTGCCAGTCTAAAGAACTACATTACCCAGAAGCCATCATTTCACTTCCCAGAAGTCAACACTGCTCTCTCAACCACTGCTTGCTTCAAATGGATGGAAAGTTTTGCAGCAAAGTCAGAAGTTCTGTAAGGATCATCTCACAGGACTGGCAGGAAGGTCCAAATAATCCTGAAGCTGAACTCATCCTTCAAGCTGCACCTTCACTGCTGAGTGGCTGGACTGCAGCTGATCTGGACTCAGTGTGACCCGGATCCTGGGAGCTGCAGACGACAGACGGCTGTAGAGTTCAGTCAGGTTCTGGTCGCGCGGTGCTGGTCCGGACCGGGACAAAGGTGGTGGACTAAATCCTGGAGCAGCAGCACGCGCACATCAAGCTGGGTGGAGCGGTGGGCTTCAGTCATGCTGTATCGGGAATTTTTCCATCTATCGGGTCGGACCGGAACTGAGCCGCTCCTGTACTGCAGAGCTTGGTAAGTAACATTTTGCAGCTCCTGTACATATAAGTACTGTATGTTGTTAAAGTTAGTAGGTTTAAGAGTTTAGAGGACTGGTTTGTAGGCTTCATTGCTGCAGGATCGTCTGCAGAAACAAACCGAGTTGGAATAAAACAGAGTTGGACCGGAACCAGAGCTGTTACTGTTCTGCAGAGCCAGTAAGTAAAATTTAGTAACGTGTTGTTAAAGACTTGGGTTTAAGAGTTTAGAACATTCCAAGAGTGGGAAGGGTTTCTAAAGCCTTAATATAAAGTTTACTGTACTTGAACTTGGACTTGGACTACTGTACCCCCACATCGCAGTTTTTCACTTATCGTGGAGCTTCGTGGTACGGATCCACAGCGATAAACGAGGAACTACTGAAGTACAAAAATGTGGTGTGGTTGTAGCTGAGAGTCATTTCTTTAACACATACTTGAAGTTCTACTTACTTTTTAAAGACATATGCGTAAAACTTCAGCAACAACTGATGGAGTCAGCGCTGCTAGTCTGTTAGCAAAACATCTAATGAAACACTAAACTACATTTGAATGTAACTTTCTGAAAGCAAGCATTGAACGAACATCTACAACTGATTGACTTTTGCAGTCAATTCAATTCAAAATGGCTCTAATGCAGTCATTCACATCACAGACTCTGACCATGACATCTGGTGATTTTGCATGAAATTGTGCATATCGTTATTTCAAGGTTCGACCAAAAATGGCTACAAAGCTTCAAAATGCTGGCTCTGTAATGACAAAAGTGGATTTGTGTTACCGAGCATGAAGAGCATCTCCACTGCGACGTCGCTCCATATGGTGCTGCGACTGACGAGTGACGGGTGATCGCTCCCCTCGTTTTGACTGACGAAGCAGACGTTGAAGGGCACGGTGACTGCAACGTAGAAGGTCGCCAGGAGGATCAGCCAGTCCCACAAGGCCTTGGAGATGCTGTAGTGCAGCAGGATAAAACGTGACTTCCTCACAGATGCCACCTTGTACTCAGGTGGGGAAGGTTTCTGAAACATACTCTGAAAACACCAGAAAATGTCTCAGCGCTTGAAGTTCAACTCAAAACACAAGTAAAGTTCATTTTATATGTAGATCTTATTTGACACACACCACTGATTTATATGCCAGTATAAAAAAAATATAATCAGAGCTTCATCATCGCAGTTCGCATTTATTTATCTGACCCTTTCTCTTGTGGCAAATTTCATTCAAATACGTCGCCTCGAGGTTGTTAAAAACGGAAAAAGTGTTGATTAAAATATCACCTGAGTTACATTTTGAATAACAAAAAAGTTTTAGAGATTAAAAAGACACATTTGCCTTTGGGTAAAGGACTAAATATATAGTATACAGTAGTCCCTCGTTTATGGCGGGGGATCCGTACCCTGAAGATAAGAACCACAAAGTAGGGAAATTAGTACAAGTAATAAGTAGTAGTTTATTTTAGTGTATACATATATATATATATATATATATATATATATATATATATATATATATAATTATTTTTTTAATTATTAAGGCAATTTAAACCCTCATGAGTTCCCTCTCTTGGTCTCCGCTGCTCTCAGCCACCTGCAAGCGCTCTTGGCCACGCCCACTTCTCTGCTCTGCACTGAGAGCAGCTGATCAGCTGCAGCAGGAAGCTTATCCTGCAGTGTGGGCTGCACAAAGGTGCAGCAGGTGCTGAATCATTTAAAATAATTTATTTTAAATAAAAATTCCATGCCGATCGTGCGGCTCATCCATCATTCAGCCAATTGTGTGTCATGTCCAATCTTATTTTGAAAAACCGCGATGGAACCATTCCGCGATAAACGAACCATAAAGTAGCGAGCGACTACCGTATTACTAATGTGTCATGACTGGATAAAAAAATCAGTAGGTGGGAAATACTAGCAAACCACTCAGCATGTAATTAGTATTAATGCTAATTAGGTGTTTTTTATCCAGAGTTTTGAACTCACATTAGATAGTTTCCTTTTTCCCCTCTTGGTAAACAGGTTGTTCAGGTGTTGGAGAACCGTCCTCCCTCTTCCTCTAACTCGGCTAAAATAGGATTGGTTTGTTTTTCTGCCTTCTTTTGTGACTTTGGACATATCTGTTTACAAAATCACAAAACCCAAGTCAGTGTTCCACATCGCATCCCATTTACATTGCCTTCAAACAACATATCGTACAGCAAGATTGCATTTTAAAGCTGACGGTTTTTTTAAAACTGAGGGCGTGCATGCAGCCGGAGCTCACCTTCTTCTTGAATGTAGTGATGGTTTTTCCCATATGAGTCACTGACATCTTTAAAAGATAACAGGAACAGCACCACCTCGCCCTTCTCGTTTTTAATTGGAACAATATCCAGGAGACACCAAAATTGATTTCCTGGGAGGATTAAAAAGTTATTATAAAGAGATTTCCTCAAATAAAACTGCCAGACGTGTTTCAGCTGAGATATTGGCTGGAAATGAAAGGTTAAGCATAAGAAGCTCACATGTATCCAAAGACCTGTTTGTTTATTGTGTGAACGCTAAACCAGCATTTACACTGTTTTTCTGTTTACTTTTTAATGCACAATTTTGCAAACTACTTATGCACACTTTTGCCATTTTAACCATTTCTTTGATATAATTCCATTATTGAGATTAGTGTTACAGTGGCGATTTTAGCCTCTTTTGGGGGGTGGTCAAGCACCACTAAATTTTAACTCAGTACCACTGAAAAATTAAGGAACAATCATTAGTATTTTTTAATGAAACTCAGTTCTCAAACCTTAGATTCACCAAAATATTGAATAAATTTGGAACAAATGATGACACTCAAACGGGCCAGGAAAATGTATGTTTTTTGCACAAGTCGGATCCTCTACGCCACCTGTCAATCAGTCCAGTAGGCTCGTCAGCAACTGACCAATCAGTGACCTCAATTTGTCTGGAAGTGAAACGCCCCTTACCTGCAGGAGTTTGGGGTGGGGCTTAGGATGTGTGAGAGAAATGGAGCATTACTGTCTTAGCTTGCCTGTCTGTATTGTGTGCTGCAATACAGTTGTTGACCAGGGGTAGAGGGGGTGGTAGGATGCATGAGCGAAGCAGAGCGTGCTCTGTTCATACAAACAAGGAGAGATGTTGGTCAGGCTACTTCTTGTTCCAGCCATCCATCCATTATCTTTTATCCGCTTCTTCCATTTTGGGTCACGGGGGTCGCCGGTGCCCATGTCCAGCATAGGTAGGCTAGTAGGGGCGGGGTACACCCTGGACAGGTCTCCAGTCCATCACAGAGACACATAGAGACAAAGAACCATTCACTCTGTTACTCTCACCTAGGGACAATTTAGAGTTACCAATCAGCCTAACATGCATGTTTTTGGTCTGTGGGAGGAAACCGGAGTACCTGGAGAAAACCCACGCATGCACGGAGAGAACAAGCAAACTCCACCCAGAAAGGCCCCTGGACCGGGGTTTGAACCAGGGACCTGCTCGCTGAGAGGCAGCAGCTCTACCAGTTGCATCATCGTGCTGCCCCATTTCTTGTTGTTCTTGAAAATAGTTGTTGAATTAAGTGTTTACTTATGTACAGTAGGTAAACATAGATGTTTAACAACCCATTAAAATACGCCATAATGCAGGAAATGGCATCTTCTTTATTCAAAATCATCTGAGGGAGGACCCCCAGCCCCCCACCACTGTGTCCCCCCCACATTACAAATGCTTCTGACTCTAATGGCCACCGTGTTGTTCAAGACAAGCGCCACTGTCAGCACCGGGGGCTAAGCACCCCAAAGGGCCTGTTCTAGAATCGCCCCTGGTGCGTTATGACTTTTGTTTTTTGTAACTTTTATGCTTTTCAGAACATTTAACTTTAATTAATATACAATTCACATACAAATGCATCGATCTCTTCAGATTCTCAAAAAATATTATTTTTTAAATCTGCTTCAGCGTCCTTGCTCTTTTTTTTAATGCAACTTTTAGCTGTTCTGTTCCTTTAGCTTTGAGCAACACTTTAGCTCATTTTATCATGTTTTGGCTGATTTTATCTTTAGCATTTGGTTTGTTAATTTCAGGTACTATTTTGCTGCTTTGCTTTTTAGTTACTATTTTGTTAAGTTGATCACGTTTTGCTATGAGTTTTCACTTTAGCATCTGTTCCGTTACTTTTTGCTCGTGCTTTGCTGCAGCCTACGCAACAGTTTTACAAACTTTAGCGCCAGTTTAATTAATTTTAGTATTTGTTCTGTTGCTGTTAACAACTAATCTGCTGCCTTTAGCTCTTAGCTTGTATTTGCACTGCTCGTTTTAGCCTGTGCTTGTTTGAATCTTAATATCTCAGCTTTTGCTTCCTTAGCACATTTCAGCTAAATTATTCCGTTCTTAATATTTACACTTTTTTTTTTCACAGAAACTGCTATTTCGCTGGTTTCCTGTAATTATGATCTGATTCAGGAAAGAAAAAAAAACTTGGTGCATACCTATGTAAGTAGAAAAACATCTTAAAAGCAATGTAACAAGGTGGGACAATGCGATATCTCACCATTCTTTCTATAAAAGCAGACTTCTCCCTGGTACTCCTGCTGGCCCTCCAGAGCTTTGTGGACCTGCTGGATCACACAGTCTTTGGTCTCAGCTCCATGAAGGAAGCTGCAGGTGCAGGTTTTCTGCATCACCTCAGTCCGAACGAAGCCGGTCAGCTCACAGAACCCATCAGAACAGTACACGATTGGGTTACCGTAGCGCCCCTGAGCATTTCCCAGGAGAAAGTTGCTGTCTGTGAGGAAAATACAAGAAGATAAGAGATGTGAGCTCGATAATAGAGAAAGGATTGACAGAGCAACAGGAAATATTGTAAATGGCAACAGAGGTTGCCTTTTTTTTTTTTTTTTTACCAGTTTCAACAAGCATCCATCAGATTAGAAAAATAGATTTATTTTCTGAATAAAACTGTAAACTATGCAGAGCTCCAGTTAGCTGCATGAGGACAAAAAATCTGAAGACCTGAATATAATTCTCCACATGTGGACATTCACAAGTGAATTCAATATTCCTAATGTTCTTGGTGTTCTTCACAACTGTTTTAATCAATATCCTGATTCATGCTCAACAATCCAGAAAAATCTAAAAAGTTAAGTCAGGTCCTCTGGATGGGTTATTCTTGTTAAAATATTTTGTCTTTCACCATAAAGACTAAACATTTCAACAAGAAGAATCCGTCCAGATTAGATGTTTTTAATAAACTTTTTAATCAACATTTTTCTCAATTTAAAAATGCAGTTTAAAAAGACATTGCATAGTACACAGTCTATTCCCCCAATCAGGAAAAAATAATTAAAAATCATTAGATGAAAAGGCTTTGGCAAGCATGTTATGATTGTGACTAAATAAGATTTTATTTTTATTTTGGGGGTTTATAGTGGCTTTATCATATTTCAGTACATAGTTACACAAAAGTTTGATTCCATAGTGCTTCATAAAAAATAATCATTTGAATTATAAACATAAAATGTTCTAAATTAAAGATACAGATTTGTAAACATTTGTGACATTGCAATTATTTGGGTGCAACTTATGAGCACGTTGAAGAAGAAGAAAGTTAATAATGAAACCAACACCTGCTCAAACGCTGAATCCATTTAGCAGCATTCGTTAGCGGTGTAGTGAAAAACCTTATTTACAGTCTGTGATCTGGCAGGCTGCCACCTGGATCAACAAATCAATAAGTCACGATGATGTACATGATGCACAAAAGCATAATTTGTGAACACAGCAGATTCATTTACAGGTTGCCTCTGGATAAAAGCCGCACAAAGGATTATTTTCCATCAGGTTGTGTAACTTTATCTCTGATTTATACGATGCATGCGCTGAAGAGTTTACTCAGATCTTTATATGGTTTTATCTCTACAATATCAAAGCAAATAAGCTATGGTGTCTTGTGTCATCCACTCATTAAATATGAAAAAGTTCCTTGTTTGACTTTATAGCGAACATTTTAATGATGATGAAGGCCAACACTGAGCACCTGCTCACAGCATGACGTAAAAGTTATTTTATAGATTTATCTGATCAACAAAAGGTCAAATCTGCACATTACAGATTAAATTAATATATTTTTAAATGAAATGGGTATCACGCGCTGCATTTCATGCCGAGGGTTTAGACTAAAATCATCGTATGAGATAAACTGATCTAAGTCTAACCCCAAACACCATCTTCATCTTCTGTTTTCAAGCAGATGATGAAGATTCTGTGGGAGTGTGTTGCAAAAAAGTACAGTTGTCTTTATTTTGTGAGTCTGTGTTTCAAAACCACACAGATGTGAACTGCAGCTTTGCCATATGTTTTATTCTTTCCTGCCCAGGTTGCCATGGCGACATAAATGCAGAAAGATCTTTATTTAGCTTCTTGCACACACTTTTAGGTGGAAATCATCCACACATCTCCAGCTGAGTGTCTGTCCGTCTGAAACAGTAGCTTCAGGGACAAATAATTGGCACACGTTGGTGCGTGTGGTTTTTAAAATGCTTTTCTTTGAGCTTTTTGTGGTTTGTTTTGTTCTGTTTTCTGGTCACCTAAAGTCACAAATGATCCTCTTTTGTCCTGCTCCTATAGCCTCATTTCCCCCCAAAACAAAAAAATATGAATTACAACTAAAGTGTGACAAACTCAGAATATGTCAAATTATATTTTGAGTCATGTAAAACTGAGGTAAACGTAATATTTTCACGTGGCGACATTTGTACTTCAATCTGACATTGTTGTTTAATTTTTTCACTCTTTAAACTGAATATTATACTTTGTTCTCTAATAAGGTTGAGTCAAGTCCTCTGGACGGATTCTTCTTTGTTGAAATGTTTCGTCTTTTATCCAAAATACTTATTCAGTCTCAGGAGCTGCAACAAACTCAGTCTTGTAAACATATTATACTAGAAGTCTAGAAACCTAGAATATTATACTACTGCAGAACTTGTGAGGTTGTAAAAGTTGGGACTTCTAAACCAAACGCCAATCACATAATACAACATTTTGAACACTAAGACTAAAAGAAAGTGTATGTAACATGCAAACATCAGTTCTGACTAATAATTTGAAGCAACAAGTAATAAAATGCATAATTTAAGTAAATTTTCTGTTCTTAAAAAGGTTGACTATCACCTCAGCTGATATCTGATGAGCTCCTACTCCTCTGCATAATTCATTTTAATCAATCTCCCGGCGTTCGCACGAGGATCCACTGTCTCGGCTCCCTCTCACAGCGTGTTTTCAAAAGGTAGCTTAGCATTTTAAGGTTTCCGTTTCAAGCTAGACAGATTTGGGAGAAGTCATAAACTGAATAGGGACTGCTCAAACTGTTGCGTCAGATGGTCAAGCAACGATTTGAGGCCAAGAACATCTCTGCTGCTCTAAAGATGTTCCATAAATTTGAGAGAGAGATCATGTGGGAAAACATGAATAAATCATGGTGTCATTGCAAAGAATTTGTGAATTTGTTAGCTTGCAAAAGACATGCAGGGTTACACACTGACACATTTTTCATCATCTGTTCAAAACTGTCTCAGTCTTTTTGATGTCTGCACTAAATTGTGGTGCAGAATAACTCCAAGAAAGCAAACGTCAAAGAAATAAAACCTGAATGAAGGAACGGTGAATACCATTATTGTTGAACTTTATCAACAAACACCATTTGATGTTTTTTATGCTGCTGATTTAAAAGTACTATAGGAAAGACAAGTACAGACACTGTATAGACAAAGAAAGTGTGTCTGTGTAGATTTGCAGGTATGAATGAAAGGGTGATTGGCTGTTAGTCTTTTTTTGTCTCTGTGGCTCTGTGATGAACTTTTGGACCTCTGGACCCCACCTCTCACAGTGACCACTGAAAACAGACACCAGCTCCCTCACAACCCTGCATGGAAAAGTGAGAAAATGGATGAATACAAGATGTGGGTGCAGTTAGATGACATTTTCTATAAGGAGCATTTTCTGCTGCTCATCCCTGGTCAGGGTACAGGGTCACCCTACGGAGGAAACGTATTTCTCATCCCTGGTCAGGGTACAGGGTCACCCTACAGAGGAAATGTATTTCAGCCGCTTGTATTTGGGATCTTGTTCTTTCTGTCATGATTCAAACCTCATGAAACCTCATTGGTGAGGGTTGGAAATGTTGGCAGACCAGTGAATCGAGGGCTTTGCTTCTTAACTTAGATTCTTATTCAACTCGAGAGACCAGAGCAACGCCTTCATTACTGCTAATGAGGTCTCAACCTGTCCAGCCATCTCTCGCTCCATTCCTCCATTTGCTTGTGTCTCAAGACTTGATGCAGAGACTCACCCCCCACCTGGAGGGAGCATTCCACCTTGTTTTAGTTGAGAACCATGGCCTCACACTTAGAAGAGCTGATTCATATCTCAGATGCTTCACACTTGGCTGTGAAACACCTTGACGTTGCAACCAAGATGCTCTAAGACGCCAACAGAACTACATTATCTGCAAATAGCAGAGACGAGAACCTGAGGTTCCCGTTCCCAAAACCCTCATTGGTATAGCTGTGCCTTGAGATCCTGTCCATGAACTCCACAAACAAGATTGGACACAACGAGCAGCCCTGTGTCCAACCTGAACTGGGAACATGCTCGATTTTGAGCCGAGGGTGCAGATACTACCGGATATGCCTGAAAAGAGATCCTGGCAGTCCTCTTCCTGCAGCACCTTCACATAATTCCTCAGGGAACACAGTCATAAGCTTTCTCCAAAGTCTACAAAACATGTAGACTGGAGAGTCAGGCTCCTATGGCCCCCTTAGCAACTCTACAAGGGTGAAGAGCTGGTCCACTGTTCAACAACTTGGACAAAAACCACATTGGAGCTCCTTGTACACATCTTCCAAACAAAAAAAAAACTATTATGATCTGGTGAGCTGGACTTTCAACGCAATCGACAAAATCTTTTCAACAAAACAACAGGGTCCTGGAGAGCCCTCATGTCCTGTCGAGACTCACGCTGCAGGGTACATCAGGGATCCGTGGGGAGTTTGGCAGCTCATTTGTTTTTCAGTTCTGTCTCAGGAGGATGCCAAAAATGTTTATACAAATGGATTCATGATAGCAGGGTTTCTGCTTTTTGGCGTCGGCAGGACTCTGTTATCAACTTTTGAAGAAGACATCGGCAGCAGTTTCGGCCATGGCAAAACTTCTGAGTCTGCGTGAAGGTTTGCTTCGTGTTACGAGTACTCAAAGTCAGCTGATTTACGAGCTAAACCGTAAGATGGAAGAGATTTGTGAGAATCGCAGGCCATCTATGACTTCTGGGACTCACCAGCATGTTGGAGTCGACCTTGCCCATAAATCTGGTCATTTTGGATCTGGAAAGTTCCAGCAGGACTCAAGGCTGACAAGAAAAAACAGTCTGCCTGAAGAAAATCAACAATTGTGGCTCGTCTGAATCTGACTCCCCCATTTGGCCTCATAGTGGGCTGACCATCAAATTTCTCGTGGGACATGGGTAAACTAAGGAAAAAGCTTTGTCCATCGCAATCACCCCCCGAGAACTTCTATGCAAGCTTATCAGAACTGCACTTATCAGAACCAACATCTCATCAGGACTATGGCCTATCTGAAAGTGCTTCATGGACAAATCTCAATGTCTTGACGTCAAATACAAAGTATGTGTTTATAAATGTGCTGCTGGGAGAGTTTTTCGATGTCTCAAATCGTGTCCTGATAGCACAAGATGTGAAGAGATCTTTTTTGTAATACCACTATCCATCCTCACGGCCTTTTACCTTTTTTCTATCTAAAAAAGTATTCTGATAAAGAATAAGAGGCCGCGCTCTTGTAGCAGCAGCCACGTGCACTCCGCCTATCTTTTGGACGACTGTACGAACATAATCTCACTGTATCCTAATAAAGCTTATTCTGATTCTGATTTGTTCTCCTGAAGCCAAGGTTCAGCAATCAGTTGGAACCTCCCTTCCAACACTATGGAGTAAATGTTCCTGTAGAAGCTGAAAAAGCATGACCCATTTAGTTGAAACACTCTTTTTTTTAAATAAAAAATGGGGCCCACTAAAAAGGGTCTGCCACTCCACTTGTGTTGTCCCAATCCTCCATGTGACAGTGACACGATCTGTCAATCATTCCAACCCTAAATGTCCACAGTCTAAATGATCTCATCCACTTTTGTTGACCTGGGTGACCTTGACCACAATATATGGTGCCTTCAAGAAACAACAAACATTTAAACCTGTCATAGATGAAGCATTACTGAGATGCAAAGTGTGTAATCTGTTATTTTACAAAAGTAATGACATTCTTTAGCAGCTTTTATCAAAAGTCTTTAGATGTGCTGTCCATTATTAAATAAAAAACACTTAACTGGAGAGATGGGTGTTTCCTAACTAGGCGATCCATTTTATTCAGAATCCATTTGCACATTTTAACACATTTGACACAAGAAGAAACACTTATCAGAATGAGAAAAATAAAAATCAGTTTCCACTCACAGTTCTGTCCTCATATAATCAGTTTGAAACAGATGAGCCAATAAATTTCTTTAGAAATGATTGAAGATTAATTCAACCTTTGTTAGGAACTGTGACATCATATCACATCTCTCAGAGGAAAAATAACTAATTTTGGACCTGGAAGTAAAACAGATTTTTCTTGATTCTTTTTGCCTGAATGTGTTTATAATAAAATATTGTTAATTAATAATAGGTGTCTGCATAGTATATGCAGACACCTATTATTATCCACCCAACTTGGGTTTCTTAACTTTATTTATATCTTATACACTCTTCCGTCAACTTTAATGCGGCCCGAACCGCAACGTGTACCCCCACAAATATTATATCAAAACAAGCGGCTCGGCGCCGTGATGTGTGCCATTACTTTTATTGGTGTTTTGAGTTACCATGGCGACATTTTTTGCTAACAAAGACGCCATATTTCCCCATAGGAAATGGATGAGAGAACACTCCTCACACTAACTGCTGCTGTCAAGTCACATGACAGAGTGTAGATGTTCCTGAAGAAACAGAAACTCACTGTTGGATTTGTTTGAAACTCACAGAAAGTAACCATCAGATAAATGTCTCGAACTGATTAACGTTTGGAGCCATTTTGATTCAATATGGCTGCCACAGCTACCTCAGCAAACACAAAAATGACTTGGTCATTCTATGAGAAATAGAACTGAAATTTGGTGAGATTATAGCTGAGAATGTTCCCTATCACAACACTGAACCCAAATCAAAAATCCAAGATGGCCACCTTAGCTAAAAAGGAAACATTATGATAACGCAGACATTTTTAAAGGTAGTCAGCTTAAATTTGGGATAGTGGTAGCTGAGAGCAAACTCCAACACATAGTACTGTCAAATCACAATTTTAAATTGGCAGCAGCCTGGCAGTCAAAACTTCTCCAGGAACTTTCTAGTATTAAATTGTTAATATTTCACTGTAAGAGTCTGGTTGCGTAAAAAGTTCTGTTTGTATTGTCAGACCGGAGGAAGTATTGTGACTGTACAGAAAGGTTCTCATGTGGGTCACTGATCAAGAAAAATCAAAGAAATGTAAAAAATAAACTGCAGGTTGATAATAAACATAGGACGCCTTTGTCTTTTCCTGAGCATCTTTTCTTAAGCTCAGTGGAAAACATCATGAGATCAAAAACACACGAAAGGAGGAAAACTGAGAACATACGTCTGTGCTGCTGTCAAAGTCCAGCTACATATCACAGAGTTACTTTGTCGTGATGAAGCCTCTGCTGCCCCGAGGCACAACTACAAAAACAGCCCTCCTACACTTATATTGTTCTTATGAGCATAAAAAGCAGAGACATTTAGAAGTATGGAGTTCAGCTCACTCATTAAATTAGACTAGCTGCTTGCAGAGACAACATGAAAGAAAGCAATGTGCTTTTTAAAATAATAATTAGCAGCCGAACATGCACAGTATGAGCTACTCTAAACGTCAGCATTGCTTTAAACATATAATGAGTTCATATTTCACAGCTTCACAGTTAAACACTTCTCAGGGAGAAGTGCAGCTGATCCAATTGTTCTCTTTCTTTTATTAGACCATAAAGTAACTATTTTACTTTACAGAACACAGGTAATAATTAGATGCTCCTGCTGATTTATTTAAAATGAGAGCGTGTTTTAACAACTTTAGTTCAAGCTCAAATGCTAAAACTGAATCAGGGTTGTGTTTATAGCATGTTCTGCAAAAAGAGAATGATTTTGGTATAAAAGGCAACTTTCAAAGAAAATGCATGTTTTTCTTTTCTTAAAAGGATTTTGGCGTCATGTCTATTCCAGCTTCTTAAATGAAAAAACGTTCTTGTGTGTCATTAAGACGAGTCATCCTGCACCATATTTAAACTGGATTTGAAATCAGCTCCGACTGAATATTTTAATGGCAACAAAATTCTGATTCTTAGGGTTTTTGTTTTTGTCAAGTTATTGGTTTATTTATAAATTCAGCAAATGCAAGAAAAATAGAAAAGGACATTAAAAAAAGTATATATTTTATTGTCATTAGTCGTAAAAATCCTGATTGTAGTTCAATTAAAGCACAAAGATACATTGGCCATTATAGTTTATACCCTTAGTTTGATTTTAAATTGTGATATTTGCTGAAAAATTGATCTACAGAAGCTATAGATATATACAAATATATATAATATATATAAACTACATAGCTTCCAGGATTTAATATTATAGGACTGTACAAACTGCCTCTGTTTTTCACAGTGACCTAATATTTACATGTCGGAGTTAAACATCTTGTTTTGTTTTTGAGAAGAACAAAAATGCACGGACATTAAAAGAGAAACCTTTTCATGAAAGACTCAAAAACTCAACAAGTTTCTACATTTTTTATAGATTTTAAAGACTTTTAAACGAACTGCATTATTGTTGAACATGTTGGTCATTTGCAGCTTTCAGCACCGGTTCCAATCTTTACCTAATGCTGGTTAAAGTCAAAAAGTCTCCGTCAAATCCAGACAAAACTATTAAGAAGCTGAAGTGCAACATCTGATGACATAATTTCTAGACTCACAAGAACCCTTTTTGTCCCACAAACCTGAAACTTTCAACCTGATTAGACACTTGGCTGTTTTTGATCATAGCGTTTTAACATTTGGCATGCACCCTTCCCAAAGGTACTTACGGGTGCCATCGAAGTGGTTTGCAATGCTGTCCAAGAAGGTGTTTTGTGGAGCAAGAAGGCCCTTCATCACAGGCATCTTGTCAGGAGAAAAGTCTGAGCTTCCAGTCACCGTTTCATAAGAGCAACTAGAAAAAGGAACCAGCGGAGCACTTCTTCGTCTGGCTAGGACATATTCCACAGTTTCAAGTATCCAACATGCAGCTTTTCAGACAATGGATCCTTCAGACGCTAACTCAGATGTTTGCAGTTCTCTAAAGCTTCCCTCTTAATTGTCAGGTTCAGTTGCACATCCCTCCTTGTTATAACAGCAAACTGTTCTCCACTAACCGTGGTCCCTGCCATCCCCGAGTCCCCTCCCTCTCTGAAGAGCACGAACCATTCTGCCTTTCCCCACGCGGTGAATTCATTACACATCTCCTGTCTTCTCCCTCTCATCCTCCTACTTTTCACTCCCCAGAGAAGTTATCAGAAATTACTTTCTTCCTGCGTTCTGGCTCTCCACGCCGTCATTGAGAGGTAAATACTATAAGATGCATTGCTTTAAATTAAAAATCACTTTTGTGTGGAACGTGGTTCTGCAGTACCGCAAGATAACTGAGCTCCTATCTCTGCTTGTTGCTGTGGAGATTCTGCAACACATAAAAGGATTCTGAGCCTTTTTTTTTGTCTTTATAGAAGATTTTCTGTCAAATGCTTCAATATTAGCTCATGTAGGCAAAACCTGACTTTTTTATTTGCTTCCAGAATAACCTGCAGTTTGGAGTGCCGTAAACTTTTACACCAGTTAGGCGACATACACAGAAATGCACTGACTTCCTCATTACAACAATCTTTTTCTTTATACTACATTCTCACTTACATTTTCTTTCAAATTCATTACTTTTTGAATTAGTAATTTTTGAATTACTTTTTGAAGGAGGTTGAGGAGCATTAAGTGCAGAACCACTAGACTGAGGAACAGCTTCTACCCTGAGGCTGTTAGACTCATGAATCTCTAACCAGAATAATCACTGTGAAAAACCATATCATGTTGCTGCTGATCTGTTTCATGTTGCTGCTGATCTGTTTCAATGTTGGTGTGTTCATGCGTGCACATCTGCTCACAGACTCATGTTCATGTTTGTGCTGATGTTCAATGTTTTATGTTATGAGTGCTTAGTGTATATTTAGTTGATGTTTTTCTTAGTTCATATCTTAGATGTTATTACTGTTTTTCTTAGACATTTTATTGTTGGATGTAACTGGGACCCTGTGTACATAATTTCGCTCCACCACATGTACCACATGAGGTGCGAATGACAATAAAGAAACTCTGACTCTGACTCTGACTTTTACTTTAATAAAGCTTTAATCTGAAAATCTGTATTTGTTCAGAAAAAGAGAAAAAGATAGACATTCAGTGACGTGATGTTATATATAAATGAACTTATTTTAAATCAACTCAATTTCACTTATTTTCAAGATCAAATCAACTGAAATACTGGACATTACAAACAGGCTGCTCTTATCAAAGTTATATTTTTTAATCGCCTGTCATTGAAAAACAATTAACAACAATTAATGTAATGAATTTACAAACAATTGTTTCTTAGATTAAACAAAAAAGTCTGGAAGGGTTGATGGGGCCATTGGTTTTGACTGCATTAAGCCTCAGCACTTAAACAATTGGATTTTGGTGCGCCCCACCTCTTGCACAGTGATGGCTGGACATGGACACCAGTGACACCAATGACCCCTGCAACCCAAAAAGGAAGAAGTGTGTAAAGATAATGGATGAATCAATCTTTCTAAATGGTTCTAACGAGGTTGAGTCTGGTCCTCTGGACAGATTCTGCTTTGTTGAAACATTTTGTCTTTTATCTAAAAGACGTCTTCAGTCTTTGGACAAAAGACGAAACATTTCGACAAAGACGAGTCGATCCAGAAGACCGGACTCTACCTCGTTAGATTTATCTGTGTGGATAATGAGCATGTGTCAGGAGACTTTCTAAATGATTTTTCCCTACAGAAGCACCTACTTATTCACTAACAATGCTTTATATTTTCATTTGGCCATTTTATCCAAGTGTCCCGTGTTTCTTTGTATTTACAGATGCTGAAATGATCAATCAGCTTTGGTATTAATGAACAGATTTGGTTGATTATTGTAAAGTTGACCGTAACTGCAGATGAATCATTCTTTGGCTGATATTCGTCAGATGTTTAAATAAATAGATGTAGAGGTACGGCAGCAAACTTGGGACTAGAAAGCTGCAGGTTCAACTCCCCGCCATGCCCACATGTCCATGGTGTCCTTGAGCAAGACAACTAATTCCTAATTGCTCCCTGGGCATTTACATAGCTGCTCACTGCTCCACCTGGGTGTATTTCACGTGTGATGGGTTAAATGCAGAGAACTAATTTCATCATTAGGAACATACACTGATGACAACACAACACTGTACTTACTGTATATACTGTATATATATTTTGTTTTATTTTTTTCATTGACCCATTATGGGTTGTCTCATTGAGCCACAAGAACTCATTTTCAAGAGAGACCTGTTTTTAGGGAGCAGATGGTGGGGGGTTGAGGACCTCAACTTGAGGGCCTTGCTTAGGGGCCCAGAGGGAGCAAATGAGGGTGGAGGCAGGTGTGGGTGTTTCACCTTTCCCACCCACATTTTCATTTTCTTTTTCAGAAACAGATCCTGTCCAACTCTGAATGTTAGGAAACACCTTGTATCTGTGACTTTCCTTCCCTCCATTGATCACGGTGACATTATTTACATGAACGCTCCTACAAGAACCCTGCAGATGTTGGATGCTGCAGATGTTGGATGCTGCAGATGTTGGATGCTGTCTATCATGGTGCACTAAGATTCATAACTGGCTGTGATTATCGTACCCACCACTGCACCCAGTATTCACTGGTTAACTGGTCACCATTAACTCCACACAGACTCTCTCACTGGTATATTTTCATCTTTAAATCACTTCTTGGTCTGCTGCCTTCATACATCTCCTCCTACATGTCTCTGTGTGAGTGCAGCTACAGCGTGCGCTCTCAGGACATCATTACCTGCAGTGTTCCCTCAGTGAGGACTGAACTAGACAAAAGGACCTTCTCCTACTCCGCTCCTGTTTCCTGGAATATCTTGTAAAAACATCTGAAGCTCTCGACCTTTGACCTCTCTAAGTGGTTTTAAGAAGCTGTTGGACTCCTGGCAGGGACCAATGCAGACATGTTCCTGTTTTTAGTTTTCTACATTCGCCTTATAATCTAACTGTTTTGTTATTTGCCATCTTATTTGTAAAAAAATAAAATAAAATCTGCATGCCTTTTTACAACTGTTTATTGTTGTTGCTGTTGTCCATTATTGTCATCTTTCTTTGTTGAAATCAGGTCTCTCTTGTAAATGAGTCCTCGAGGCTCAATGGGATTTACCTGTATAAATAAAGGTTGATTGAATGAATGATGTTGATGGTACCGGGAGTTGAACCTACGACTTTCTGATCACAGGCCCATACACACACACACATATATATGTGTGTGTGTATAAACATACATATATGTATATATATATATTAACATACATATACAGTATATATATATACATACATGCATATATACATACACATATATATTCGGACGGACGGACGGACGGACGGACGGACAGACGGACAGACGGACAGACGGACAGACGGACAGACAGACAGACAGACAGACAGACAGACAGACAGACAGACAGAC